TTATACTGATCAGCCGAACCAAATTCCGATAACCAACTGAAGAGAAAATGAACACCGACCGAACACCACAAATTAACCGACTCAAAAAGTTGAAGGGAATCACCGAATTTGTGAGAATGAGGCTGGCAAGAGGATTTGGAGAACAGAGTCACCATTATAATTTAAGACGAAGGGAATGGCGACCGAAACTACACGAATCCGTATTAAAAAGAGAACATCATTTATCTTCTCAACAAAAAGGGTTTGCCGCTAAACTAGCTCCAAAGTTTAACTAAGTAAACTTCCGGTCCTTATATAATATCCCGCATACTGTCCCCTGTTGTGTATGAATTACAAACCCCCCGAGGAAAAAAATCTTTCCGAACTCATATAAAAGACATTAAACCGAATATTTCTCGAATAGATGCCGAAACCGAGGATGGAAATATCCGAAAAGATAACCGCAAAGGACCCGGCGATAGACCGGAAAAACCGTGAGGAAGGACTGATGGAACGTAGGGAGAGGGTGAAACAACTCTCCGAAGAATTGGCCAACCGAATTAAAGAAAATAAAAAAAGAAGAGTTGTCCTTCCTTGCAAAATCCTTCAGTCTGCGCTTGTACCGACCGATCCGACACCGAACACCCCACAACCGATCACCGAAAACCCACCGACTTCCGACGAAGTTGAAGAGGCCTTTGAACAAGCTCTAGGCCGGGCGGAGGAATTCGTAAAGGGGAGAAAGGGAAGAGCGGAGGAACCATCATCCAAGGCGGAGATCCCAATAACCGACGCGGATCTTGCAGAGGCTGTTCTCCGAAAAAAAGAACTATCCCCGGAAGAGAGAATGGCCCTACAACGATTCCGTCCGGCGGGATATACGGGCCGAGTCCGCCATAAGATCAAGACCCGCGATGGTAGAACCGTGAGAATCACCCTTCCGCCCGAAAAGTAATTTTTTTTTCCTCTCTTCTATTATTTGCCCGAACCGTCCGTATGACCCAATATACCGTCCTTAATCCCGATTAATTTTCATTGGTATTAAATTTTTTTTTCTCTCCAAACTAGATGAGCATTAGCGACTCATGCGACGTCATTTCTTTGGGGTCAACCGATGATTTTGAAATGGAGGAAGGAAGGGATGAGGAAAACCAGAATGTCGCCGAGGAGTTCCCGGAAATCCACGAGGGCATACTGGTGCCTATCCGAAATCCTACCGTTAGCGATGCAACAGTCGCTACCGAAAATATCCCAGTCGAGTATCCAACCGATTTCGCCGATTTCGACGACAAAAATACAATATATACCGCACAGGTTACCTTCACCGACGTTGCCACCCAAACCGACATACAGGAAGAGAAAGTACAACCACCGCCCCTACCACCCTTGTGGGAAATCCTGGATGTATTAGGGAAAAGTCCCAACCGAAGACCGGTACATACCTGACTGCGTGAGCATCAACCCGGACCTTTGCTGGCGCTGTGGGAAAGATGGACATCGTCGGGATACATGTAATAAAATATAATAACGTACAGAAATTTGTTTGAAGTTTTAAGAAGTAAACATCAATTTTTAACAAATTTTTAGTAAAACTTCTTCTCAGTGGAACGTGAATACTGAGAAAGATGAGAAGAATATACGGAATAAACTGATCGGTTTTATAACTACATTAAATCGTAAATGGAAGAGGTGTGGTAGAAGTATATCAACATTCTTGTCAAAAGAGCGAACGTGGTTAGAAATAAAATTTAAATTTGAAAAAATTGATAATGCTGAATCTACAACTACTTCGGGTAAAGAATCAAAATGTTTTGCCGAATCCAGCGAGAGAACAAAACGCCGAAAAACTAAAGAAATTACTTCAAATATACCGTCCGAACAATTAATTTTTGCAACCAAATCAACTCTATACATAGAAGGAAAACGTTCCGCAGCAGATTTATTATATCAACCAAACATCACCTGACAGACCTAAAAAAATTAGAGATGCATACCGAAAACACATAAAATAAGAAAATAATACCATATACTGACGACGAAGCTCTTGCATATATCCTAGATTGTCGCCTAACTAAGAATTCTTATATGAAAACAAGATTAGGGGCAAAAGCACGAGGTGCAAATATTTATCCTTCATATCACCGTGTACAAGAAAGTAAATTGCGATGTTACCCGGATGATATAACTGTAAGCGAAGCTGGTGCAATTATTCCTTTGCAGAGCNAATTTTTACTAGAGAAAGAGACTAGCGAAAACACTAGAATTGAAGTAACACGAATAGAATAAAAAATCAAAAATTTAAAACCATTTACAGTTTCTCTCGGCCAAACAGAAGTAAAAGTTGATTATACCTTAATTATGACAATGATAGATGGGAAGGTTATAAATGCCCTTACGAAAACTTCATCTCAAGTATGCTATTTATGTGGGTGTAAACCTACACAAAGAATGACTTAAATTATATAAAAAAAAGTGACATTCGCGAAGAAAACTTACAATATGATCTATCCTCTTTTCACGCATGGATCAAATTCCTGGAGTGCTGTTTACATATAGCATATCGCATAAATGTTGCTCAAACAACACGCAGATTAACAGCCGAGCAAAAACTTTTAATTAATGAAAGGAAAAAACTGCTGCAAACATGCTTGTGGGAAGAAATAGGGATTAAAGTTGACCGTGTTGTACAAGGCAAAGGTACATCAAACACAGGAAATGTAGCACGTAGGTTTTTTCAACGTTCAGAGAAGGCATCTGAAATCACTGGTGTGAATCCACATTTAGTGCAAAGATTTCATTCTATATTAGCAGGAATTTCATCGGGATATGAAATTGATTATGAAAAGTTTCAACAATACGCCTATGAAACTGCTAAGTTGTATGTGCAATTGTATAATTGGTACCGTATGCCTCCTAGCGTCCACAAAGTATTATTGCATGGTTCGGCTGTAATAAAACATGCTCTTCTTCCGATTGGTTATCTTTCAGAAGAATTTCAGGAATGGGGAAACAAAGATTATGTGCGGTTTAGAAAGGATCATATTCGAAAATTATGTCGTACAAACACAAATTTAGATCTGATCCATATGCTATTAATATCCTCTGATCCCATTATTTCATCCCTCAGGATAATTCCAAAACCTCCAAAGAAGACCTCCAACTACCTCCAGATTGTTTATCTTTTTTGAAAGGCTTATCTAAAGATAGTGAGAAAGAGAGTGAGGAAAGTTCAGATGTAGAATTTGATAGTGACGATAATGATTAATATTGTATTATTTATATTATAACTGTTTTTTTTATTTAAGTATTTTTTTATATAAATCTTAGGTTACTTTTAGGTAGATTTAGTTTGTTAATAAAATATAAAGTTTAATATTGTGCTTTACTTCGTAAAATTTTCCAAGTAAAATTTATAATTCAGTAAATTAAGATTGAGGTATTCGTTCAAAACGTAGTAACTCGTAGTTATTTTCGATATTATGGATATAATAGATATGTGAAATTACCTCTAAAAAGTAGATCCTGCTTCTCTACATCTATATTTCAACTGTTTTTTGTATTACTTTATCGACAGCAACTTTATCGTAGTTTTAGTAATTATGGCCAGCTAGAATTCGGATTCGTCCCACTGTGGGCCGTCATCTTTCGACAACAAGAAGGGGAAGCATCTATTTCATTGGAAAATCAGCGTTTGCAACCGGTTCGCAACGTCGAAGTATCACGATCTCAACCAACCTCTACATATTTTCTACGATCACAAAGAGGAACCATAATAATTTTTAAATCAATAGTTTATTTTGCTTACACACAAATTATTGTAGTTAATTCATAATTCATCATTGTATATTAATTTGTAATTTTTCTTTTTTTTTCTTGTTGTTGTTCTCAAATGACTTCTATACTTTAGGTAGTTTTCATACTTATGTGGGGAGGTTTATACCACTTTCTCAAGTGATCAACCTTGGTCACGGGTCATTTTCATAATAGATGTCTCAACCATTTTAATTCAAAAGATCTACTACATAAACATTCGTTAAATTGTAGTGATCATAAAGCAGTTAAATTAACAATTCCCGAAGAAAATACTCTGCATTTTAAAAATTTTAAAGCATAATTTAGGAAACCTTTCGTTATTTACGCAGACTTTGAATCTTTACTAAAAAAAAATTGATGGTTGTTCTAATTCAAACTTAATGTCATACATGTTAAATTATCAATTACATGAAGCATGCAGTGTTGCATTTAACATCGTTTGCTCGTTTAATGAGTGCTACAATAGTTTTAAAATGTATCGAGGAGAAGATCCTCAAATATGGTTCGTTGAACAATTAAACCTTTTAAGTAATGACCTTTACTTAATCTTGAAAGCCAGCACCACAAATCGTATGCATCCCATGACGCGAGCAGAAATGAACGCATTCCATTCCACAAATAACTGTCCCATCTGTTTTTGCAATTTTACAAGCACAAATCCCAAAGTCAAACATCACGACCATTTTACAGGAAAATTTATATCTCCTTTATGTTCTAACTGTAATTTACAAATCAAAGTAGACTATAGCATCCCTATTTTTTTTCATAATTTAAGCGGTTACGATGTACACCTTTTTGTTTTGGAGCTTGCAAAAAACTATGAAATCAACGTGATTCCTGTTAACCATGAAACATACATTTCTTTATCAGTGAAAATTAACCAAATAAAATTTGTATTTTTGGATAGTTACAGATTTATGTCTGCATCTTTAAGCGAGCTTGTCGGTAATTTGAAAACTGAACAATTAATTCATACTAAAGCAGGGTTTCCAAACCCTCAACAATTCAAATTAACTACGCGAAAAGGTGTATATCCTTACGACTATATAGACAATTTTGATAAATTCAATGAAACATGTTTACCTGAACAAGAGAAATTCTTTTCAATTCTCGCGAATGAGGGAATAAC